AAGTCGGAACAGTGGAATTTCGGAATTACTAGTCTGCAGTATTAGATCCTAAATTTTGGTTTTGTTCTATGCTGATTTCTCGACTGGAGATCGCAAATCTGACCAATTTCTGATCATCTCGCAATTACTTAGGTTTTCGTTGGATTTTTAAAAAAATTGTCGGAGAAGGAGACACACATAATATTTATTTACTTATCTTGTTAGTTGACGTAAATTGTTTCGGATAATCGAATAGCGAATCGTTTCTACAATAGTTATTTGGCAATTATTGATTTGTCTTTTGTTAGAATTTTTTAGTAAGTTTTAGAGAAAGGAGATAAATATTTATTTTATTTATCTCTCTCTCTGTAAATTACACATTTTAAATCAAAGATATTTGTAGAACGTTGACATTTATTGTAGATATTATTGAAAACAAAAATTACAAAAGGAAATCGAGATAAATAATAATCGAACCTCAGATCTCTCTTTTAATATCATTAATTCTATGCTCTTTCTGAAAAAAAAAAAACTCGAAACTAGCTGTAATACGTTATAAACATGAGAAACTTTAAATGTATTATATTAAATCGACTTTTCAATTTATTATTACCTTATTTTTGTGCGCCAATTTCCGCGCCCTACTTTTGTTGCCTTTATTATTATTATTTCCATTATATACATCATTTATATTGAAGCCATTTCTGTTGTGGTTATTTCTCTCCCTTTGATAATTTAAACTTCCAAAATCCCGTGATGATTTCACTGGCGTGTATTATTCGAAATCAGATTTCTGTTTTTTATTGTCCCGCATTTTCTCATCATGCCTCACTCGACTTTTATTTTTATTTCTACTTCATTATTATTTCGTATCGTTGTTTCCACACTTTTCGACCACGATTTTGTGTGAATCTCACCGTTTCTCGTTCTGTACGAGCTCTCGTTTCCTCTATCTTCCTGCGCTGTGCCTCGCCCTCTTTTGTTGCTCCAGCTCGAAATTGAATCGTTACGGTTTGTGCTGTTCGATCACGTAGCGTGAGTTTGCGCGCCGTGGATCTTTGATGAAACTATTCGGACCTCTCGTTAGGAGGCTGGCTAAGCTAATCGAGAGATCCAGAAAGGCGCGTGTATGTACATATACACACACTTGTATACGTGTTCGCACACTTGTGCCTGCCGTGCTAGCATGTGCACGCGCGCGCTGTATTATTTCCACGGCGCAGATGGTGCGGTTGGTCGCTGAGAGACGTATGTACGTATATTGTTACGATCATTGATCTGTTTTATTCCTCTCTCGCACATAGAGCGCGACGGGCCGTGGCTGCAGCTCGCGATCGTTAGTCTATGCGCCACCTTGCCGTGTTCCGGAGATGAAGGGAGACACGAGAAGGAAAGAGGAGGGGGGAGAGAGAGAGAGAGAGAGAGAGAAATGCCAGTATCGATTCCGGCGAACTATATATCCACGAAAGAAACTGTACTTTGCCTCCTCGGTCGAGAGAACTGCATTTTCTTTCTACATCAGAACTGCCCATGAGGACCGTGTCGTGATTATCGATGCACGAGTCAGAATTCTGCGCGGATATAATCATTAACGCGTGCATATTGCAACGAAATGGAATAAGCGTTCGATGCACCGTAAGCGGTAAATTGCGGGGACTGTGCTGTGGCAACAATCATAGTGCAATAACGAGAGATCGATCTAAACCAAAGGTCTTTCTGAATTGTAGTTGAATTATTATGAATGAAGAAAGACATTGTGAATTTCAACCTCCTCTATCCTAATTTTCTAAATGTTAGACTTAATATAATGAAAAGAAATTTTTTCATCTTTTTTAGCTCGTATTTTTTTTTAATATGTAAAAATGGTCAACTTACAGAAACTCAAAAAATATGTATTTGAACCTTTCGAAAGTAGATTTTAAATTTTAAAATCCTTTTTTAAATTTCATTCATTTTTTACGAAGATGTTGCGTATATACAATTTTGAAATAGAAAATTGAAATGAATTTTCCGAACAACCTAATACAAGAAAGTGTAGGCAAGTATTTTTCCGCGCTATAGTATTATTGATTGAAATTTGGCAAAAGAGCGAGAAAGAGATGTTTAGCGCAGTCCAGTACAACGACGAAGAAAACCTTCCAGTGTGATTTACTGGAAGTAAAGAAATGTAACGCAGAGTAATTATGAAAATCAAATTAGAGTGCAAACGTGAAACATCGAAGTAATATTAAAGTTTGCGTCTCCCGCGGCACCGGAAAATACATGACTTCCACGTTAATCCGAATCTCGTCGTTTGTCATCGCCGATCGATTTCGAACAAGCTGACAAAGTGCTCCGGTCGTCTTCACGCGACATCATGCAGGGGCGGACCGGACGACGAGGAAACGAGACGAGCGACCGACGGAAGGGAAGAAAGAGAGAGAATAGGAGGAGGAAAAGTACATGGCCTCCTCCGTGATGGTGCCAGTGGGGACATCGAGACGGCCCTGAGCAACGCGGAGACTACCGGACCCAAGGACGTCGCCGGCCCCAGATTCCCTCTCTGCCTCTCTCGTTTCTCTTCGTTTTCTGTTCTCTTTCTTCGAGATCTGCCTACACTTTTCGCGAGACCAACAAAGTGTTTTTTAATCCGCTATAATAGGACCCAATGGATCTTGTTTAGCCCTATTGCACTAAAAAAGAGTTGGTGTATTCATTGGAATCGGTAGACTCAACTCGAGATAATTAAAAATTTAATTATTTTAACTTGAATTCTGATTTATACGATTAGATTTTTTGTTTCACCTGTATTTCTTGTTGGTGTAACCAAAACAGGTCTGACTAGTGCTACGATTGAAATCGAGATAAAAATTTTCGATTCGATCGCGAACGAGAACGGTGAAGTACGATGTTACACGAGTTTCGCAAGAATTTCTAAACTTCGACGGTGCAACGAAAGTAACGTCGGTGCGTTCGAGATCGATGGTTCCTGAAACATTTTTACGTTCTTCGTATAAGAACGACGAATGAATAAACTCGACGAGGACGACTCGGGCTCGGGCACTCGTTCGCTGACTCATTTCCATTCCCGTCGATTTGTCTCACTTAACTCGGACGACCGGCCGTCGAGACAAGTAGTCGCCCTCCTACACTAAATCACTATACTTTCTCTATACCGTTCGCGTTCCTCAACTCCGGTACTCTGTTCAGTTTCCAGATATCGTACATTGCTGATACATTGTATATTGTTGATAAGTTTCGGGCATTGTATCATAGCGATATTCCTGTTTGAAAATATACTTTCTGAAGAAAAACCATCTTTATTCTTTTTTTCTTTAGTTCTGAGTGGTTTGTCTCCCCCCCTTATCCTTCTGACGCAGACGGACCCCTCGGGACGGTTGTTCTCTCGGGGCCCAAAGTTCTCCTTCCTATCGCTCTTTCCTCTTTTCATGTGGAACGTGTTTCTCTCTCTCTCTCTCTGCACGTCTATCCCTATTTTGTTCCTCTCTTCTTCGTCTTCTACTTCGCCGAGTTAACACGCCGATACGCACACGTGGGCCGGCATGTGCACGCACACATCGATCGCGGGTCGTGTCCTTCGGACCGTTGCTGCCTTGGCAGTTAGCAACAGCACGGCCGCCGCACGGCCGGAAATACCGGGTGTTCGAATACCATCGAGATCATCCATTCGAGCGAGTGTCTCGTGTGTCGAGGCATTTAAGGATCTGCGGGATGTAACGAACGAGCGAATCGACCTCATGCCGGAAAAAGAGTCGTGTCGCGTTGCTGCGTCACTGCGCGCGAGGCATTAAAAAGTTGAGTCTTAATCGTCGACCCGTTAACTTTTTCTTTCACGGGAGAGCCCTCGCTCTTGTGCGAGTTTGCATGAATCTTCGCACAAGAGAGAGAAAGCAAGAAGGCCGCGCCAGGTGCGCGATGACTCTTAATTTTGCGGAAACCGCACGTTGAGTAATTCAACTGCAGTTGGCTCCATCCGAATTCATTCCCAAGAAATAACTACGATTCTATAATACTTCCTTTCGTCTTGCACTCAATGAGGTATATGTATATTCTCGTACCGTGGACTCGCGCGATATACTTTACGGAACTGATTTCATGGATTGCAAAAATGTTTTTACAGAATTAAAGTACGTAGAAATAAAAGCCCATGTGTGTTTATTTCACAAAAAGATTGCATAAAATTAAAAAAAATTCGCTTGCTTTTGATTCGTATAACTATCACCTAAAGTTAAATATAATATATTGCTTGATATAAAAATTTTATAGTGTATATTAGTAGTATAAGTATTCAGCGGATCTCGGATTATCTGAATGAGTAATACCGAGTTTGTAGAACTAACAACGAGCTGAAAAAGATATTTTAGACTGAACCTAATTTACATGTGTACGTATGTTTAGCAAATATTTAGATTGTTAAACGGAGCAGTAATTGTATCTTCAGTAGACGCTTGATCTTGCAAGAGATAGTGTTGCAATATGCACAGAAACAAAAATTATTTTTAATTCAAAATGACTTTATAATACATATATTCTATTTAATGCAATCATTGTTTCCTATACAGCAACAATAGTCTTTTTTTAAAAGACTATTATATAATATTATTGCTTAAAGAATTTAATAATCTTAAATTTTAAATGTGATACAGAGAGTATAAATTCTATTCTAAATATATTATTATGAATGTACACCCTTATCTTCCTCGTTGCGATGCATTGCCGTTGAACTTTTGTAGAACGCGTTTGTTGTACTCGCGCTCATGAGCGAAATTTATATATATATATATATATCTCCCTCTCTCATGCCTTTAATACCGAATGCACTTACAACTTTATCTCTGCCCATGTAGCGTGAGATAGAATCGCGCTCCGTTAATAAAAGTTCAGGTAAAAAAAATAATGATTATATTCCACATGATAACAGTCATTAATTTGTAAAAATCTTGGAGGTGATGCATTAACAAGACTTCCATCTTTCTCATATGTATTCTCTAATCGAAACTTTTAACGTTTGTGTGTTACAGGAGAAGAACTCCTTCCTGAATTACAACGTGTCCTGTATTTTAACGCTACCGCCTTACCAGAGACAAGGCTATGGCCGGCTGCTCATTGACTTCAGTAAGTATAACAGAAGGCAGTGTCTCAGTGCTAAGATAAATTGATACATCAATATAAACTGATATTTAATTAATACAATACAAGGCTCATTCGTCTATTTTAGTATTGTTTTTGCTCATTTTGTGGAATTTAAGATGTTAACGGGAAATAATTAGGACAGACGAAAAATTGATAGAGCCTACTAAGATTCCGAAATCTTTTATTTTCAATCTTGGCACTTGGCATGCCACATCACGAGAGTGCTTCACTATTTCTCGTGTATGTAATTATTCTAGTTATTTATATATTCTGTATTACTATTCTTTGTCCTATATTTTCCTACAACTTGACCATTTCTGACATTACATTCACTCTCGAATGTGCCATGTTCACAATTATTTTAAGTATTCTCCTACATGATGCAATCTTTCTAACGATTCGTTTAATTGGAGATGAAAGTCAGTTGTATTACGAAATTATTACGCACACATTCTGCGACGGCGACGAAGAGCTGTGTTTCAAATTTTTGCTATGAATCAGTATGGTCATTTGAATGAATCATCACTGTTGTTGATAGATTATGTGCTCTGGAGAGCTGATAAAGCGACTATATGTCTGTAAATTCGCTGTGAATTCAAAGCGTTTCTTATTATTTATTACGCTCTTATCCGTTTTTCATCTTTTAAAACTTCCGTTAAAGTACATTTTCGCGAGCCGCTCGAGCCATTTCAGCCACAAACGAATTACATAGTCAAAAATTGACGAATGTCAAGCATCATCTGTTGTGATTCTTGTTGCTGAAACGCTCGATTTGAACGGATTGTGAACATGTACTCTCATCCTAGATTGCAATCGACATTATCAACGAGCGCGCGAGCACGCTTGATGCTTAAATGCGTCGCGGAATGCGCGATCGCGTGGCTTTCTTTCCCTGTCGTTCGTTTCACGTGCCAATTTCATGACGAACCCGATGCGCGGCGATTTCTCGTCGACGGTCGTCGCCGCCGCCGCGTCGCCGTCGACACACGCGCGCACGCACGCACGCACACGCGTGTGCGCGAGCGCGACGCGAGACGCATAGCTTTGATAATTAAACGCGGGGCTTTTTGCCGTGACGTCATTTTCATTGATGCCGAGCGAGTGTCGGTGGCGTCGGGAGCGGGCATCGCGGCGCTACTACACTGATAGTAGTATGAGGGGTAGAGGGGTGTGTCAAGAGTTGGTTGGTCGAGGGTCGACGTACTGTGCTGCCGTGGTGTGTCGGTTGGTCGACGGGGGTGAGGCGAAAGGAAGGAAGGGCTGGTTTCACAACCCCGCCGGCTTTTCCGCGAGCGCGCGAGACAGCACCCTCCCTCCCTCTTCTCTCTCTCTCTCTCCCTCCCCCCCCCGCTCCCCTCGACTCTTCTTTCTGTCTATCCCCTTCTCCCTTCTGCATCCAGTGTCGGTGCCATCGACTCCGCCACCGGCTGTATTTCGACTGTACCAGGCTGGCGCTACGAGCCAGCGCACCCCTACGCGAGATATCGAGTCTCGTCTCGCTCAAATAGATCCGGCAATATTACTCGACAAAAAACTACAGGGCGAAGAATTGCTTAAGCATTGAATTACAATAGGTATCTAAAATCGCTAAATAAAAGTGTATATAAACGGTTTTGTAAACAAAATTTCAATATTTCTAAAGTTTATTCGGATATTTTTTCATTATTCTAATTTATTGTTTTTGATCTCTCTATAATATCGTTCCTCGCGATATTCCCTACTTTTCGTCGTTATTGCATAAATTATTATATTTTCAACATTTGTCAATCGATTAATGAAACTCAGTTTCAATATTATACCTAATATTTATATTAGTATATACGCAGTATTACCTAATATATATAGGTATATATAAATATCACAAGAGAGGTTTCCTAATTTCGTAAAGTCGATAGTTACATTCGATTTGGGCGCTCACGTGCTATAAGCTTCGCTTTATCTTTATTACGTATACGAAGAAAGATAATAGAATGAAATTTACAGTTCGTGAGCGCTTAAATCAAACTTAATCTATGTCGACCAGCATAAGAGTATAAATATCGATATCGCTTCTTCCGCAGTATTACAGATACTGTCAATGTTCCTGATAACGAGGACGATGGTAGTGATGTAATAATGAATTGTGTAGCGTTAGGTCCACCATCGATCACCACTACTACCGGCCGCGAGAGCGAAGTGATCTGTGTGTGCGTGGAAAGTGCGACGCCCGGCGTCTCGCCGCATCGATCGGCTCCCACCACACCGCCGTCGACGTCGCGTATACGCGTGCAGACACGCATACAGGTTTACGCGTACACCCGCGCTTCCTGTTTCACGCACGCTGCGCGTCCTCCTCTTCTGGGCAACCGCTCCTCCGCACACGTTGATTTCTACAGTCAGGCTCTCTGTACCTGCTCTATACTATCACCACCACCGCCGCCACCACCACCACCACCACCATCGCCGCCGCCGCCGCCGCCGCCACCGCCGCCGCGCCTCTCAGTCCCTTCGCCCTTCTCTTGTCGCCGTCGATTCGTCTCCCCCGCTCAACGCAGGGCGCCCGAAGGGTTCGGAATCGTATGACCTCTCGTGACCTCGCTCCACTATCCCTACGTAGGATTGGCAGGGTCACCGACGCCCTTTTCCGTACACCTAGGGACGAAGGGTATACGCCAGTCATACGGCAGGGAGGGCAACGAAAGGGTGAGAAGGGGAGGGAGGGAATTGGTGAGGGGTTACTGCGGCGGTAACACTGCTGTGACTGGGCAGGGTCGGCGTGGCGTGTGCGGTATCTTCCGCCTTCGTCAAAGAGGAAAAGGCGGATACGCACCACATCTCGTTGCGATATTATCCCGCCGCAGACGGACGAACTGGTCCTCCCATTGACGTGGTATTTCTTTTTTATCTCAAGGTTGCCGCGATGTCCCTTCCGAAGACCGATCGGTCTCCGCTCCAGAGAAAGAAGTTAGAATATAGAGGGGAAAGAAAGGGAAAGAAACCTTGATTTAATAACCTAAGCTGCGACACAAAACCTATCTTGTCTCGTTCCTCATATTAAGATTAAAAACAGATTTGCAGCAGATCAACTAGAAATATTTAGAGGAAAATTACTAGATTTATCGAGTACTTATATGTAAATGAATACAAGAGAAAAAGCAGGACGAACGAGAGAATCTTTTTCCTCCAGTGTAACTTTAGATGAATAAAGAGCATGAAAGCTTGAAGCTTAACATTGATATCGCAACATCTATTTGGATACTTTAAAGCTGCTTAGGTTAAGCAGTCAAATTCCGAACTGTAATCCCCCGAGCTCGACACTTATCAAGATACTTTTTCTTAGTTCCACCAACATAAAATTGCTTCGTCCACCTTCGAGTAAAGATGCATCGGTAATTGCGAATCGTTTCTAAATCAAGTTGAAATCCCATTATCGTTTCGCGAAACATCGCGATTCGTGCCATCATTATTCCACTGAATCGCACGGAAGATAAATATTCCTGATGAGTCGTAAATCTCGTTGTCAGTGACGCTTCGATCGCGGGGCCAACGAACCGCTCTCAACAGCACCCAATTTCATCGTTCGCGTACCTTTCACGATTCGCATCCTCGTTCGCTCTGCGCCCTTCGGGTTGTGCCGACCCTGCCCGTGCGACTGGGACGTTCCTCCCTCCCTCTCGTCACACCGATCTATCTTCCTTTCTCCCACCGTCCGGCGGTCACTATTTTCCTCTTTCTCGAATTTCCATCCTCAAATTTCCTCCCCTCTGCCGATTCTACGTTCTCTCCCTCTCCCTCGCTCTCTCTATCCTCTACCTACACACCGATCCCGAAAGTCAGCAAACTGAACGGACGCGTAATGAATGCGTTCCACCCTCCCAAAGTAATCAGCAGCGAAGTGGAGAGGGGGCAGAAGAAGAGCGGGGTGAGGCCGCAGAGTGCCGAAGGCGGGCGGAGGGGGTGGATAGAAGTGTCCTCTCTGCTGCCGGAGATACGCCGCGGTCTACGAAGGTGGAGGAGATGGAGCGGTGTGGTCATTGAACCTATCGCCGGCCGGGAACACCCTGGAACGGAAATGTGAACGCAGAATCGGCATGTTCTACTCCCGGGGACGCCGCGGGGACGCCGCGGGGACGCCGCGGGGACACGTCTTGTCCGTCCATGTCTGCGGGATAAAGAGATCTAAAGCGTCTTCTTGAGCAGACAAGAAGAAGCGTCGAGTGAATCTGTCCTCGCAGATCTGTGCGAGATCGCGCGATCGAGCGCGCAATATATTCGTATCAGACACCGGTGACCTTGAAACCGCGTCTGCGACCGAATCAAGAACTTTAAAAAGCGGCGGAAAGACATTCTCGGTGTATTTTTTCGAGATTTCTGTACAATTATGAAATACATATTTCAAGGAAACGTAAATATGTAAATGATTATTTAAAGAATAATCGCAGTAACGTAGAAACACGGTTTCGTACAACAAATGAATCACTTGTTACAAGTGAACCGGTTTCTTTTAGCTTTTTCCGTCGAGCTTTTGAACCTGCTGAACGGTATAATTTCGAGAATGTGACGATGACACTAACGTGGACGACACGCGATGTACGCTCGATACTATCGCGAATCTATCGTCCACGTTCTAATGTCATATGCGTACTGCGACATCAGTTATATAATACATAATGCAAGATACAGCTATCAACTCGCTGCGGAGTTCGCGAAATCCGCATGCAAAACGCGAACGAACGAGCGACGTGCGAGTGCGCGGGTCCATTAAATCCCATCCCTCTCGAGATTGACTTTTACATATCCCAGCCTTGAATTCCGTGGATCAGTCCCGTCTCCTCTTGGTAGCTTCTCGTCGCGTTCTCGGTGACTCATGCCGCTCCGGCAAGAATCTTTGTGGAAGATAATTTTCAGATTCACGTCGCGAACATAAAATGACGAGAATTATGTCAAATAGAATCCCTGTCCTGTTATAAATTCTACTCTCCGATTTTATCTCCCGAGGAAATCCGAGTCGTTTAACAGAAACGTTTAACTGGAACAAAGTCCAATTTTCAGTCGATTTTCGACCTTATGCTTCGAAGCGACCAAGTTCGAAAGAACTCCAATCAACGTTCTCCCTAACTGAGATCGATACTTGGATCGATAAGCTCATCTTCCGATAAATTTCACCCGCACCTGTTTCTGATAAGAGCGCCTATCGTCGGCGTTTAAATCGCACGCGTTATCAATCTTCGGATTCTGGGTTGCGGTTGATCTGGATCCGACATTTAAGTCGCTCCCTGAAAAACGGGTTTTTAACTGGTCCCTTGGATAATTCCATTGACGTGAACGGACAGACGGACGGCACGCAACGGACGATTCGCCGATTCATCAGCGAGAAGCAGGCAGGCCGCGCTGCACGAAACGCCTCGAGGTGCCTTCTCTCTCCCCTCCTTTCCTCCTCCCCCCTCCCCTCCCTCTTTTCCCCTCTCCCGACTGTCTGTACATTTTTCTTTGATGCCTCGTCGCAGAATACTTGGGACAAACGAGGCGGAACGGACGTTCAACCAGGAGTAGACGGACACTGCTGGTCAGGACCGGATCTCTTTCTGTCGGACCCACCGCCACTTGTCTGTTCAATTTAAGTGTATAATAGGATCTTGTTGTCCAATTATGCCTTAGAAATTTCACTTACGAAGTGCTTATCATACTGCCGGAACGAAGTCCCGGCTGCGAAAACTATCGTTGTACCTCGAAATATTTTTTTATTATTACCGATTAAAGTATAAATTGTCGAAATTATCTGAAATTACAATTTTGTTAAAGTAACGCTGTTGATTTTTAAATTTAAATTTAAATTTTATTATTCTCATTTTTTTTCTCAAAATATTGTTAATTGACGCACGAGGTTTATTGATGCACATACGATAAGTCGGCGGTGCATTATCAAATAAATAAATTTTATTTTTCAATAAATTTTTTACAATGTTTTGAAGATACTCCTTTAACATTAGTATTATTAAATTGCTTGTCAATTTAACTTGTGATGAGTTAACCGGACCCTATATATCCTATTAAGTTTTGCGATATCTTTTAGTTTTTTGCTGAGTCTAAAATTAAAAATTAATGATAATATTCAAAAGAGGAAACATTTCTAAATATATTTATACAAGTGTAGTAAAGATTAAGAAAAAGTAGCATTTCGCGCATACTGGGTACATATGTATCTAATATGATCTGATAAGTATATTTCTCCCTTTTTAGTAAAAAAAATTCGTAAAAAAACGAAAAATAAAATTTGATTTACCTTTATAAGAATATATTTAACATATTGAGACACATAAGAATGCACAGTGTTATTTTCTAAACAATGAACTTAGCTACTTATTTATTTATTATCTACTTATTTCCATGATGTTTTATAGCAGGTGAGTTAAAATCCATGATCTGAAATAACAAAAGTACCAAAGAATCAATCAAAGAATCGTATTTCAGCTTTAGTTTGAGATTCTGTGTTTCAAAATTTATAAATAATCGGCGTGCTTAAACTGGAAATTGTAGAATTCATGTAAAAACTATAATTAAGCAAGACTCGTTTTGATCGAGTATGGTCTTCTTTGCTTATATGTATATTTGTATTTAAATAAATTTATTTTGATAAATAGCGATAATATTTGAATAAACCGAACCCGTTTGCAATTTGCTGCGCAGGTTACTTGCTCACGAGAGTCGAGAAGAAAATTGGTTCACCGGAGAAGCCTCTTTCGGATCTCGGCCTGATCTCGTATCGCAGCTACTGGAAAGACGTTCTACTGCAGTATCTCTGCAATTTCGGCGGCAAGGAGATCTCCGTAAAAGGTAAGTCAGCGCGAAGTCTTTCGTCACAGTTCTACCAGCCGTCAGTCCGTTTTGACTTCCGATATCACGGAGTGGCATTTAAATATTTATACGTGGATTGAGAGAGAAAAAGTGCGGTAATGCGACTTACGGGAGGTTTCTTTTGAACCGCTGATTCAACGCCTAATTTTGAAAGCATAATTTTCCTGTGGAGAGAAAATTTACATTCGTCGGGACTCTAGCAAAAATCTTTAGCAACTTCTTGAAAATGTTTTCATCTGGCGAGAGGAGACTTTGTCAACTCTCCTTACTTTTCACTATTTAATCAAGAATTATTCTGCTTCGATATTTTGTAATAATTCGGTTTCGATGGACGTTGTTGAGTCTATATATTTCATTATAGATGTTATGTCTTGAGACAAGGGAGTTGTCAGTAGAGGATTTATGCCGCATTGCTATTGATCCAATGGTCAAGTTTTCCCAACGTAACTGGTTTTAGCGGTTGAATCATTGTATCCAAGAAGGGCAGAATAAACTGCCTAGCCGCTGTAAACCGCAGCAGATTATATATGATTCATCATTTCCGCATTTTTGCAACTCCATCAAGCTCTTTATTAAAGTTTATGATCATTTCTTTTAGTTTTAAATGAATTCAGTATCTATTAATCGGGTTCATTTGTGTGCACAACGAAAATGTAATAAATATATATCATTTTTATTTATTTTAATTTTATGAGATATTCTTAGTTTAATATTATTTATTTATTTTAATCTTTGCCTCGCGACTCTAGATAACTTCTATTTAGTTTACATTTCAAGTTTAGAATGTAAAAAATATATATTTCTAACCTAGAGAGACTTGTGGAAAACTCGAAGACCGGATTTGCGTAACTAATCAACAAGACTAATAAAAGAAGAAAATGTTTTTCGAAACGCGTGTGTTAAAATTTTGTTTGTGTTGATAATATCCTTCATACATAAAATATTTCCATACATAAATATAAACAGTAATAAATTCACGATGTTTTATTCATCGTGTTTTTTTCTACTAGCCCTCGTCAATTTTATTGCTCGTGCTATATGGCGTATCGAGAGGGACAAGTTTCTGCTATAAGATTGGATTATTATATGTCTCTTCGAGACTTTTCCATCAACAACAGTTTTCACTTCCAACGGGAAAAAGGAAGACGATCAGAAAAGATTGTTGTTGAACGCGCGGGAAAGAGACAACAAAACAAACTCGATAATTTTTTTTTTCAGACATCAGTAAAGAAATGGCCATCGACTCATATGATATTGTCAGCACTTTACAGGCCCTTGGTATGATGAAGTACTGGAAGGGCAAGCATATCATTCTGAAGAAACAGGTAAGCGCTTCTTTGTGTTGTAATTCATCGTATATGTAGTCTTAGCTAAAAATGTTAGACATCTTATTTATCATTATATGTTTTAACTCAAAAATTAATTTATGGCATTTGTTATAAATTATCTTTTATTTTAAGAACCCTTTAGACTTATATATAATACTGATAACGAATAGAAAATGATACAGATAAAAAAAGTTGAGATAAATAAAAAGAATATAAGTGTGAACCACATTCAAGAATTTTACAACAATTGCAAAGCTGTTTTTTCTGTTAAACGCAATCAATATTTGATAACGATGATCCCTATAAAAAGAGTGGATGGAACCCTCTGCATCCACGCATATACTTACAATGTAAAACGAGGTTTGATATATAGGTGTATAAGTTTCTACGCGAAAATATACATTGTGTTATTGTTCAAAATATCAGAGAGAATAATTAATTTTGATTACTAATAACAGTTTAAAATAAACAATCGACGGCTAAAATTTTCTTAAGATCATTCAGGGTTATAATCTTGATAATATATAAAGTCGTAAAAATGGTTGAGGTTGTCGCTAATGTGCAGTTCTATCAGTACTTCTGATTTACAATAAATTATATTTTTTAGCTGATAATTTTTTAGTTTACTGTTATAAACTACACTAATTGCTAGTACAAAAGCACATCGTGTAAATCTAAATAATCAGTCTTTAAAAAATTAAAGTCTGAATAATCATGCGCGCGCGATCTTATAGGAATATTTTACTCCGATGTGTTTTTTTTACCTCAAATCAAACTGAGAAGATACAGATAACAAAGAATAACGATTCATTGATATAACGAAACACCATGAATATCGGAAATATCAAATGTGTATTTATTAACGTGATTATAATGCAACAAGGACAATCTGATTTCATGCGTCATTCGTCATTGGTTCCGGGGAACGTTATTCCCGATGTGCGAGCAGAGTACGATCGCGAAGTGTAATTATCATTCGATTAATCCGATCGCCATTATACATTTCCTCGATTCACTCCCTCTGATTCTTGTCAATGCAATTAAAACTTTTACGAGCTGTCGCGTCGCCCGGAACAGAGGCATGGATAAAAAAAAAGAAAGGGACCGTTGAAATAATTTCAGGACGTGATCGATGATTACAAAGAGAGGGTGAAGAGACGGGGCCCCGTCTACAAAGAGATCGATCCGGAGTGTCTGAAATGGAACCCCTTCCAGCCACCCAAGACGCCCTCCGCCTCGAACTAAGGTCTCGCCAGGAGCTTGGAAGTACGCCACCTTCTTCTCCCCTCGTCTGTCTTCTCTCTTCATGGTGCTACGGTCGATTCTCGCATTCCTTCTCGTCGTCGTCATCACCGTCGTCATCGTCGTCGTCTTTATCTACATTTCCGACCTTCTCATCGGCTCACGCAGCGCGTGGAAGCCATAAGCCGCCACCGACGGATTTCACGCCCGTAACGTAATGACGGAGAGAGCCGTGAAAATCCTTCTAGGAATTCCTCCGTCGTCCTGAAGCATGCGGGAGACGACGGTGAGTATCTCATTCTATTGGCAATATCGTTAAGGCTCGCTGCGGGAACGAACGGCTTCTCCCTCCGTATTTAAGACGCATAGCGGAGGTCGACAGGGTCCGACAATAATTGCGACTGGAAAGTCTTGCATGCGCTTTGAGCGTCGCAGAAACGTCTCTCTGACACTGACGAAAGCAGACAGGTGCGAGCCGATAATGCACGCTGACACGGAGACATCGAAGACTATTGCGTATTCCGCGCGGCTGTACCTGCGCTGTCGCCTCACATATTTGCCCGTCTTATTTTTAAGTCTCGCATCTTTCAGTATTCTCTTTACTTCTCTTTGTTATCGCGGAAAAAGATAGCGTAATTTATATTTAGAATCATGTTAGTTTTACAGTGATTAAATTCGTACGAAATGTTCACAATCATGAGGATCAGTAAGTCATATATAATTAAAAATTGAATGTGCAAATTTGAATATTTAAATAGAGTTTAGTTGAATTTCACGTTGCACCGATATACAATATTTACTTTGGTAATTAAATGCGGAAATACATTGTAACTCTTTGTGTTGGTGTGACGGCGAGAAACATCAGTTGTGTAAAGATTGAATTTCGCGCAAAAGATATTTATACATACGAGAGATATCGTTACACGAGATATTAAACTTGGCGACGATAAGCCGGCAGCGCCGATGCTGCGCCGGGTTCGTTGGTGCAACGACCTTGGCATCTCTCATTGGTGCAACCTCGTTGGTGCAGTAAGTTGCATAACGGCAGAGCCCCGTTAACGCGCCGCTGGCGCATCGATCAGATTGCGTCGTATGCGCGAGCAGTGGACCACCCGTGAAAATTTCTCATATCTTCTGGCCTTGGACGTTGCAATAACGTATGACAATCACCGGCAGAAATATCCGATCCTGGAACAAAAATTGTACGGGCGTTCATAAAAATGTAAATGACGTAAAAATGTATCGGTTCTATCTTAAAATAACAAGTAAAATCATTCACCGTTAAATTTTAGCTTGATTTCTCGACATGGCGAGATTCTCGTGCGTTCGCTGGCCAATCTCTTGTTGATTGTATGACCTTAAAATCTTACTCGTTCTAATCTGGACAGTCTGGTTAATCGTTCGCCATTAGAACTGATACTAAATTAATGGAAATGAAAGAGAGATAGTTCTCGTTTAATATTCGTGTATTCGAGCACTTCGGAATAATTTTATCGTTAAAATACCTTAACTATCCTGCACCGCGGCCGCAAGACGTAGGCATGAAAGATAGTTATTGATCGGTCTAGGTGCATGCCTAGCTGCGGAAGAGAGAAAGAGAGAGAGAGAGAGATTTGCCAATGAGGCCCACCGGCCTCGATCGAGTAACATGAAAAGAGTCAAGGTCTTGCACGAGTTTAATTTAAATATGTCATATGCGGATACAATACTACTAGCTACCGAAGGATTTTTTCGAAACGTTATTTCAGTAACTGGAAAGATATTCGAAAAATTTTTAAGCTAAAGAAAGAAAAATAAATCTTTTGTTATAGTCATCTACAAATTATTTATTATTCATAATCTTGCAACGTAAGTTATATCCGTAATTTTTTTATTAGTAACTTTTTTTTACAATTTAGAGTTACAAAAATACAATACATTCGATACATTTCGCATCCAAGAATTTTCTCGTTCAAGTGTCATTCAAGCTTGGATGAATATCGATTTTATTTCATATTTCTTACTGTACGCTGTTATAATAATTTTAACATTACAGAATTATCTTTTCAAAAAGATATCAAGTACACGCATTTCTCGAAAAACAACTGTTATTACAGTAGTTGTTACAATTATTTTTAAATAATAAAACCCAAGTGATATACGTATCTTTGTATTCTTATACGTGGAATTCTTAAATTTTCGACTTAAATATTATAGATCTCAAAAAATTAAGTAAAAAAGTTATTAAAATTTTTATTTTAAGTAATTTTTGAGATAAAAGTTTAAATATAGTCAATTATATACTATGTGATAGTCACATGTCTATGAGTCGCACGTGCGGTAATACTAGTGGGGGTGATAAGCGCACACTTCAGTGCGTTTACTATATTCACAGGTGACTATCTAAATGTAGTTTGTAATTGGCCATATTTGTGAACCCATATTTAATATTAATATCTTAGAAACTATTGCTTGAAGTAAAAATTTACAAAATACCGCGTATATAAAGGAATCTCCGGAAAAAAACAAAAAAGTGGCCGCTTCTCGTCTTGATGAAGTAAACGGCAATGTTCAGGAAATGTTTGGCATTATAAGAATGGATTTGGACATGGAGATAACCCGCGAAAGACTAGTAATTTCTGTATAGAAAGTGCCCGTGGAAGTTTCAAAAGTATTCCAGAAAACCTTTTATTTAATTTTTCGAAAACTTTCTTGCTTTAGTATTTTGAATCGTAAATTTTGAAATTTTGTATATTCAGTCTTCCCCCTTGTTCTAATCTAAGTAATAGTAAATTTAAAGATCTTTTGTGACAATGTCAGTTAAAAGTATGAGTCAAACAGTAAGTCCAAATAAATTAACATCAGTCAATATCACTGAAAAAATTTTGATGAAATGTTATTAGCCCGTGAATAATTAGCTCTAAAACCAATTACAAGAAATAAAACAAATAATTTGGCTTATAATGATTTTATACAAACAATGACCTAGGTCCTTTATAGCCTTGTCGAGAGGTATCTATATCAAAAAAAATTTCGAAAATTTTCAATTTTAAGTTTAAGGTTATTTCAAGGTCATCTGAGTTTATCACTTGGATTGAAATAGAAAAAAATCAATGGTAATACAAAGATACATATATCACTTGGATAATTTTTTTAAAGTAATTGTTCTGCAATTATTTTTCGAAAAGCACATGTATTTGTACCCTTTTTATCCTTCCTTAAAAATATAAGTATACTACTCCACAAAAAATAAGGAAGATTTACAAACCATTCAAAATTGCAAAATATTCAAATAACACAATGTATATAAAGAAATATGTATATTCAAATAACAATTTTCACATCATTGTATTCTTGTAATCTTCAGAATACATGTGAGGATTTTTTGTTGAATTTCGATGTTGATTGAAATTTCGGATCAAGAAGAAATCATTAAAATACTTTTGAAAAAGCAATTTATAGATAAAATTCTGTACTTTTTTAAAAAGTATTTTAAAATTTCTAAAGTATTCTAAATTTTTGAGAACAAATTTTTGGAGTTGCAAACTGTATATTGAATGTATGTAATTTTGAGGAATACAACAATATGATCTTTATTAAAATACAGAACTATAAAGAAATTTAAATTTTTTAGAACCGACAAAATATTAAAATACGCATATTAAAGTATGAGTTTTAAGCTTTAAAATGCTTTTGTGTGTGTGTGTATGTATGTATTCGTGCGTGCGTGCGTGTGCGTGTGTGTATTCATTCGCGATGATTTTTTATTGAGTTTCGATCCAAAAATACAATTTTGAGCATTTTGGTTCTATTCGTTACTTATTATCAAGCAATTTGAATTGTTTGATTTTTTTTATATAATTATATGTACTTGGTATGGTATTACATACACGCAAGTAATTTTTCAAGTGTCTCATTCAAGCCTGAATGAATTCAGTGTCGATTTAACTCAGTGTTTCCTATTTTGCGCTATTATGATAATGTCAATTCTTCTTTATCGCGCGCCACATGTAACGCAGCTTTGACCTTCTTGTCAAGAGCCGCGCTGATTTTAATTAATACTTTTCAGCTGCTGGAACCCGTTATTACATGTAGTTAGCTTTGTATGCAGTGCGCTTCAACTTACTGCGTCAGCTTTCCAGTCCATAGCGATCGTTTCGGTTAGAACATCGCTGCTGCAGGCAGCAATTCGACTTGCAAACTTGCTCAATTTTATCCTCGAGCACGGTGTCAAACTATCGAGAGTACTCACGAAACTCACGGGCGAAGCGAAGTGCATTTTCTCCTCAAGTGCATTTCATGAACGCTGGACGTGTGTATCGTTTTACGGAGATTGAACCTATACGACCTCTCACCGTGCGGTGATTTCAATCGATTTGTCAGTTTTCACCATTATTACTTGGATTTGTGAAGCTGACACGACATTCTATTAATATATAAAAAAATGATAAGAACAGTTCCAGTAGCACTTTTCATAGATTTAGATCACTTCTGTCTGACAATTTCGATGATTATTAGTTATTATAAAATTAATTTTAGAATTGAACGGGGAGTCATTCTTACGACTTACCGAATTTAAAGTTCCCCTAACGCTGTAACTGAGACTTTGTCGAGATGCAGGTTTCAATTTCCGTGATTCGAGAGATGTTTATATCGATTATGTTTTTTAACCCCTTGAATCGTCGTCGTTATATATTCATCGATATATTTTTCTACTCGATAATTTTGTCGTGCGCTATGATCTTTGCGCATATACCTTTGAATGCAAAAGCGAGATCGGTACGCGTGATGGATAAATAATAATTGAGACTGACGGTCGGGGGTTAACACACATTGATTCGAATGTTATATATACATATATATATATATATATCATTGTACATAAAATATTATAATGTAGTCATATTATGTATACTTTTATAATCATTGTTGTCATTGTCATACAATAAAACAAAATATGAGTCTATAATATTTATTTTCATTGCTTTGCTGAAAACTGGACTAAATAATGACAGATCTACATTTTGCGTGCAATATAAACTTGTATAAAACTAAATGACATGAAGATTGATTCGTTTTAAAAGTAGCAAAATTTAAGCAGGGTTGTACAAATCAATAGGAGTCGATAAATGTAGATCGTGCGACTAATGCTCAAGAAATAACATTCATTGTACTATATTTGCAGTAAAATACTAGTATTAGTTTCGATATTCTTTTTTCAGTTATATATTGATCATTAGTACCTCGTAATAGACTACAATTTAAATTTATAATGTAT